CATATGCTCATATTAAATGATGTGAAGAAAATAAAAATAAATCAGCTTATTGATGTTTCAGCCACTGATTCTGATACTAATTAATAAAATATAATAAGTGCTTATTTTGGACGTGCTTATTCTTAAAAAAACCTATATTTGAAAACTAAAGGCCATTTGTGCTTATTTTGGGGCAAATACGGTAACCGCTAGTTTACATCCAAATTTGGGATTAAAGAAGAGTCACGTACAAACTTGTGTTTCTCATTGAATGCTGCATGCACAATGCACAAACCACCGACAAAATTATTTAAAGATTTATTTACGTTTGATTTTTTAAATAAAATCAACTGGAACTCGTGTTTCTCATTGAGTGCTGCATGTACAATGCACAAACCACCGACAAAGATTTCTTTACGTTTGATTTTTAAAATAAAATCAACTGGAACTTGTGTTTCTCATTGAGTGCTGCATGTACAATGCACAAACCACCGACAAAATTATTTTTTTATTTTCGAATTCTAAATATAAAAATTTCTTTACGTTTGATTTTTTAAATAAAATCAACTGGAACTTGAATTGATGTTTAATTGACTTACTAATAAGCTCGCTTATTCGATTAGGAACGCTTTTGTATGATTTTACATTGACTGATGTATATAGTAATATCAGTTTTGTATTAAAAAAAGGTCCTTCTACGAGTTAACACTCTTCAAAAGAAAAAAGTTCCAAATTTCTTTAAATGAAATATATTTCGATCGATCTTTTTAAATAAAGCAAAAGTCACTCACCCTTTAAAAATAAAACTCAATCACTTCACTTACACGGATAGAAAAATAAAAATAATAATAAAAATGAATAGCATCGAAAATATTAAATATTTATCAGGAGATGAAAAAATGCTTTTGAGGAAACGTCCTTATGATCTAACTCTCACAATCGAAGAATTAACAAAGCCCGCCAAAAAAAATCGTAATAATTATGATAAGCAACCAAGACCACAAAATAATTGGATCATTTTTCGAAAAGATTACGAAGCTAATATACGTCTACGTAAACCTGATGTTAAGCAAACGGTTAAACATACTGCAAAGGAATGCAGTTTAAAATGGAAATCTCTATCAAAGGAAGTTAAGCATTTTTTTAAGATATTGGAGAAAATAGCTTGTGAAAATCATAAGCGTATCTATCCTAATTATAAATATAAGCCAACAAATGCAAAAGGGTCCAGCAATAAGAAATTTATCTTTCGTGAACAGAAAAAATATATATTTACTTCTCCAACCGAATCTAGCGCAATAAATTTCAATGACATTACAAACAATGCCATTGCTCAAAGTTCGAACGATAACGCGTTATTTGAAACCGATTTTTCCTTCACCGAAAATAATGATAATAAGACTAACGACAAAAATAATAATAACGATAATACAGATATGTATGAAACTCTTTTTAATGAACTTATTACTTGCGAGCCAGATGAAAATATTCAATTATAATTGATCTTTTGCAAGCATCATTTTTTACATTTTAAAGTTAAAAAAATATTTCTCTTAAAATATTTACTAAACAATTCATTTAATAGTTTACGTGTTCTTTAGTTCGTACGTTCTGTTCGTTAAATCTTTTTCCCATTATTTTAATGCTTTAATTTAAATTCCCCGATTTTCAAATGTTCAAATTCAATGTGCATTTAAAGCTATAATAAGGAAAAGTTTTATTAAGTGAATCAACCTTGACTCTTAAGTAAAATGTTCGGAATATAATATACATTTACCTGAAATTTTTTGCTAATCGGATTAAACAAAATAAAAATGACATTTAAGCAGATTTCCATCTTTTTTAATAAAGTGTCAATTTTGGAGAGTTCTTGAACATATAGAATGTGAAATAGTTGAGTTTATCGTTTCTTTTAGTTGAACGATATACTTAAAGAGGGGGCACAAGTTAAGTCAGGGCGCCGCGCACTTTATGCATGTAGTGAGAAACGTGCAAATCTAATATACATGTGCATGTAGTGTGCGACCAGAATCGAATGTGATACAAAGCAGTGCATATAAAAACGTGACCGTACTCAATACCAAACAATCTCTATCTTTGAATTTTGGTCCTAAATTATAATATGACTAATGAACAACATCCCTAATGCACGAAATCTCGAATGAACGGATATATGCACCGTTAGATAATTACGATTGTATTTTTTAACATCGTAACGATCATTATTTTATAATTACATGCATTGATATCATGCATTTCGTGAATTCGGGATATTGTTCATTTGGATTTGTACCGTTTATTCGGGATTTCGTTTATTGGGCTTATGAATTGTCGGGATTGTGATTTTTGGAATGTCATACCCTACAAAATTAATTGTCCCAAAATCAAAAAAGGATAATCCATTATTGTTTATTAAATTCATGATACGTGTAATGGAAACCTGACATGACCAACAGCGCATATTCTTACCATTCACTAAATTTACGAGTATTGTGAACTAAACAACTCTCATCAGCAGTAATTATCTTCTTGACAATGAGTATATTTGTTACCATGATGAGTATCTTTGTTCTCTTTATAAAATACGTTTATATCGAACAAACGAGAGCTATATACGTAGTGATTCAAATTCTACTTGCGTCGTTTTCTTTATCCATTTGTGCTAAGAAATGATGCATTAAAAAAAACTATTTACCAGTGATGTTCAATATCCCAACAAAACATAATCATGACAATTCATAAGTCCGACAAACGAAACCCCGAGTGCACTAAATTTCGGTATCATGATTTTGGCATTCCATGCATTTGGGATGATGCTATATTTTCAGGACTCCGTGCATTCGGATATCGTTCGTTCGGGATTTCATGTTCTTTCGTAAATTTCGTGCATTCAGGATGGCATTTGTCGGGATGTCGTAGCGGATCCCTTTTTACATGCATGTATTATTACCATTACTGTAATTGAGCTTCATGTAAGCTGATTCTATATCAACGTTGTGATTAAAGTTAACTTTACGTACACGTATGTGTTTGAATTTTAAATGACATTTTGTTTTAATATGAAGGAAAAATGAAACCTATAAAGTTCGGGTTTTTCTTAACACACTGTATTTCTCTGGTACAGCTATATGGGTTTGACCGATGAATAATTTTTTATATTATATTATTTGAAATAGATTGATAATGAAAAAAAAATATTAGTGATGTATTGCATCATAAAACCGGATACTTGCATGCTGTGCCCATATTGGGAGTATTTTGGAAAAAGACATTATAATTTATTGAAATATAACTATATAAGGTGTCCATTACTAGGAAAATAATTAAATTGTTTAATAAAAAATATAACGATATGTGAGATTATACAGTATAATGCTCTCAATTAAAATATTTGTATATGATGCTCTCAATTAAAATATTTGTATATGATGCTCTCAATTAAAATATTTGTATATGATGCTCTCAGTTAAAATATTTGTATATGATGCAAACGGTTTAGTCGCGCCCTGCTGTTTTTTAAAGAATTAATTTCTAAATAAGGCATTATCGTTATATGCAATATTTCAAAATAAGAATTACATGTACATGTATCATGTATATATGCAATGCCAAATTAATTTCGTAATTTTGCATGATGAAATTCAGCCAATCGAAAATAATACACGTGATATTTAATGCGATGAAATTGGGCTGCATGGTCTATTAAAATGATGCTAAAAAAGCCTATCTATAAATAAAATTCCTTTACAGTTTAAAATATCGACTGTTTGCACCATACAGCAAAAAAATTGACATCTACTTCATTCTGGAAAAATTAGTAGTGTGCTGAAAGCTTAACAGAAAGCTAGTGATTTAAATAAAATTAAGTAATAGGCAGAATTTCTGTTATAATATATTTTTATCCGGTATAACTAACATATATCAAGTTGAAAAAAATACAAGGTGGACCTATCAATTTTTGTGCATCCGCTCATTTTATTTCGTGATAGATAACTCGATATCCAATTGTTCCTTTAGATTTGCCTCGATAAGACGAATTTGAATGGTGATATTTTTTGGCTCGAGTTATCGTGTCCGAAATAAGATGTGCAGCGCTTCGGATCAATCAGTGACCCGAACTGAATTCGAAACTTCGTTTCCGGTTCGGATTGCTATTTTTCAATACGAAGAAAATTCGTTACGGTTTCGGTTCGTTCCGGGTTTGCATCAGATCCGATTTTTGATTAAAAGTTCGTCTGTCCAAATAATATTCCCGAATAGTGTTTGTCGTTGGGATCCTATTCCAGAGAACGGACCAATTGCTAAGGAAATTGAAAGACTATCTACAGTGATGGGTTAGAAGCTGAATACTTTGCGTTTCAATATTACAGTTCTTTTTAGAATATCCTAAAACGGAAGAAGAAATCAAAGAGTGCGTAAAGCTAGGAAAGCAAAAAGTAGAGAGTGGATGAAAATGCAAAAAAGCATTTCTACGAATATAAATAAAAAAATCCACTCAAATGCAATTTATACGAATCGAATCCAACTGATACAGTGCGCGCACCTATTTTTATATTCATTTCAGATAGAGTTAAATATTTATTTAGATTTGCAAGTTAGTTTGTACATTCCAAATGAAGGTAAATGCATTATCTTTAATGCAATTATCCGACATGTCCTATGTGCGCACTGGACGTTTTTCGTATATATTATTCGATCATTTGCTAATCATGTGATAACTCAATTTTCATTCACTCTATATTTAAAATACTTAATTTTTGGTCGCTTTATTAAAAGTGTTAAATCTGCAGAGCTAAGTATTTATTCGTTTGTAATAAATGGTAAAACAATTACATTTAAGAAACCTAATACTAATTAATTTTTAAATTTATTTTTAGATCATAATCTTGTGAAGGGATGCCTGGCGGGAGTTGAACAATATTATTAACTGCAGATAAAGGTTTTCGATGTTTTTCCATAAGCAGTAAATAGCGGAGAATTGGAGGCTTAAAGGGTGCCGTCACAGAAGGACAAGGGTGGTTTTAGTACGAGATTTTTAATTTAGCTTGTCTTGAAGTTCTAACTTTATTTGAATCTTGAATTTGAGGAAAAATTTGTGTTGCCGAAGTTTGGATTTCTTGTATCGTAGCAGAAATTTGGGATGCTTTGCTGTGGGAACTTGGGTTGCTTAGTGCTGTAGAAACTTGGAATGCCTGTGCCTCAGAATTTTGGATTGCTTGCGCTTCTGAATTTTGAGTTGCTTGTTCTCCAGGAATTTGGATTTCGTGTTGCTTGTGCTTCAGAAATTTGTGTTTCCTGAGCTTCAGGAATTTGGATCGTTTGTGCTTCAAGAGTTTCAATTTCATAAACTAAAAAAATAAAAATAATAATGTAAATAAAAAGTTAATAATGCTATTAAAAATTGCCGTATGAAGACAAAAAAGTGTTACTAGGATGAAATGTTTCAAATTATCATGTGCAGATAAAAAATGTTCCTAAATTCAAAATATTTACCTTGTTCTACATCATTATTTTCTTCCAAAAAATCTTCTCATATTTATCCAAATCCAATTCATGTGAAGAAAAAGGAATTAACATTGCAGTATTTAAAATACATTGATTGTCACTAGTTTGACAATAATCTGCCAAGCTTCCCATGATAGATGACCTGAAGATGCAGAAAGTCCATTATTTTTTAATAATTGAATTGCACTACGATGACAAGAATGATTTGTGATTTTCCGCTCATTTCCAAGATCAATAGCAATACTATTCATCATCTTTCTAAGTTTTTCATAACCCATAGATGTATTTTTGTACCAGCGACCTTTTTAAAGATCTTCAACAATAATAAAGAAGAATATCATTTACTGGTGCATATTATGAATCCAGATACGTCGCGAACTTTTTTTCCCATGCTTATTTCGATAAAAGACACTGCCTTGATTATTTCTTTCTTTATATAATACAAGTTCCCAAACCCACATCACGAAGACATTCAAAATCTTTTTTACAAATTCTATATGCACTCCCACCTCACAATCCACATAATAAATATAACCAAAAGAAGGTCCTACGAAGTAATTCACATGTATTAATATCTATCTATATATATGCTCAAGTATTTGATTTTTTCTGGCAATAACCCATCAGAATTTTTTATATCTCCTAACCCTTTATTTTGTAAAGTACACATTTTTCCATCCAAAGTTTGAAGAGCATGAGAAAATCTGAATCGATCAAAAATCTTTATGGGTTGAAGAATACTATGATTCTTGAGATATCTTTTGATCGCACTATAACAACTTAGACAAATTCGACTTTATAATCAGAATCATTTTTTTTCATCCAGGTTATAAATAGATTTCAAGTTCTTTTAACGAATCAATTGATTCAATAGATTTGAATATTCTATAACTTTTATTCAATCGAGCAATAACTTAAGAAGTGTTTCATTCAGTATTTGAAACAAGTGACACCTTTGTAACTGATTGATTTCTTTTTGTATAGGAAGTTGTGAAGCTTGTATAAAACTCATATTGGCAAATATAAAGCGAAAATAAATAAAATATAAAAAAGAATGAGCAAAAATAAAAAGAAGAAACAAAGATAAGAGTAAGCAAGTGCTCGAATAATATATACGAAAAACGTCCAGTGCTTACGTCAAACATTACAGATAATCATGTTATCAGTTAAATTGTGATTAAATAGGTACTATACAATTCACATGACTTCACCACATGATTTACATAATACCCTACTGATAAATCGGGTCAATTCAAAATCTGACCCAAATATTATCATTTCGGATCATTTCAGATTTGGATTGGAACTGAATTCTTTGTGATGTTTGATTCATTGGTTTGATTATTTGACTTTAATTATTTTGTTAAAATTCATATTATTGTTTCAGAATAAACCTATTTTTGTGGTTTGCAAAGATATCATTTGAATTTTATTAGTAAACTTTGTAAAATTAATATAGTTATCTTTATTATTAAATTGAAATTATATTTTGTTAGTAAATAATTATTAATTTGTGAATTGAAATTAAATCTTTTCCTTTGAATTTCCTTGTCTTTGATTGTATAATCTCCATGTAGATTAGCGCAAAAGATCTTTAGAACTCCAGTGTAAATCATTCATTCTAGCTCTTGACCCTTCTCGTGACTTCTAAATTGAGTGTGACAACATAACAAAGTCAACAACACACTACCATCAATACCACGTGAAAGATACGAAAATTTTTTTCTTTCAACAGTACAAGTCCGCATTAACTAATAAATTTAAAGATTAATAAGCAAACTTGAAGAAAAAGTGAAATAAACAACATCTTATAAATAATATTCTATTACAGTGGTCATCATAAATATTCGGAATTTTTGATATAGCGCATAGAATAATGAAAAATTGTCAAAATTGCCTGATAATTTAGACACA